AGACTTCCTACTGGTTTCCTAATGGAATTATCTAACATATATGATGAAATAACCAAGAAAGAAATGAAATATTCAACTATATTTTGGTACAGTCCATATTACAGAAAGGCATAATATTAACAAACAAAGTTCTGAAGGAAAGTGCATTTCTTACTGCTTTTCTTATTGCTGGTATAGGGCCAATTCCCATAATAGCAGGATCCAATCCAGCTTGTGCCCAGGATACAACACGTGCCAAAGGCATCAAATTTCTTTTAAGAGCTTCTGATTTCTTCATCAGAATTACAGCCGCTGCTCCATCACTTATACCTATAGCAACAGGAAACAAAATAACATTAGTCCAGTTGTTATGATTGCTAGTCACTGCTCAAGAGATGAAAATGACTAGGGTAAAGGATAGGCACATAACCCACCTGATGCATTAGCAGCTGTGATACTGCCAGTCCCATCGTTTAAAAAACATGGCTTCAGTTTTGACATCACTTCAAAACTACTACCGTGACGGGGAAATTCATCAGCTGATACTTCAAAAGAGCCTGAAGAGAGATATGTCTGTGTTCAGTTATTTACATCAGAAGCTAACATTGAACACTAGTGATTACTTTGAGATAGACCCTTGTGTAGAGTCATTAGAGTCCTCTGAACATGAAAATCACCAAAACGAAGATCTACCTCACACCCCACTTATTTCAAACTAAAAGATAAAACGTATTCATCCAGAGCACTGTGTGCAATTTTGATCTCCTTACCTGAGGAAGTATGTTCTGGCTATGGGGATAGTGCAACGAAGACCAATTCCTGGGATGACAGGACTGACGTACAAAGAGTCTGGATCAGTGAGGTCCAAATGCACTGGAATTTAGACAAATTGGGGAGGATCTCATAGAAACCAATAAAATTCTAACAGGTTAGACAAGATAAATGCAGGGAGGATGCTCCCAATGACAGCGGAGTCTGGAAGCTGGGGTCAAAATCTAAGATTCAGGGTAAGCCATTTAGAACTGAGATGAGGAGAAATTTCTTCACCCAGAAAAGGTGGAATTCTTTGCTACAGAAAGTGGTTGAAAAGATTCAATGTTTTGGCCTCAAAGAGTTTAGATACAACTCTTGGGGTTAAAGGGATCAAAGGGTATGGGGAGAAAGTGAGAATAGGATATTGATCAGCATGATTATTGAACAGCAGAGAAGGCTTGAAGGCCAAATGGCCTACCCCACTCCTATTTTCTATGTTTACTGCCTTGATACACTGAGATTATGTTTTTCAGTGAGCATTTTCACTTGGAACATATCCAAAATCAGTTCTACTATAGTCTGCACAGAGGTAATATTGAAAGTGGGCTGAAGTCAGGAATAAAAAAATAGCTGAGGAAATTTTATAACACAAGAAGTCATCTACAAAATTATTCCAGGTGGTGGAGGCGGGTACTCTTGTATCATTTAAGAAACATCAGGATGGGTACTTAAAATGCCAAGGCATAGTAGGATACGGACTAAGTGCAGATAAATGAATTTAATGTAGTTTTAGTGTTTATTGGTCAGCATAGACATGGTGGGTCAAAGGACTTGTCTCTATGCTGCTATGACTCTATGACCTAGGACAAAATGCAGTTATATAAAACTGTTGGATGCATCCAAACTGCAGATAGGTTACTATCCATTCATCTAGTACTATGATGCTAAACATTACAATCTAGTATTGGAATCTCTCATCTGCTAAAACACAATTATAACTTGTGGAGAAAAATAATACATTTCAAAAAATGAGCAATGATAGCGAACCAAAACCGGAAAATTTTGCTGTTGAAGCAAGTCCTTTTTCTGTTTTTATGTCTTATTCACTAATTCAAATTTACTGGGTTTAGATGTCAGATATTACCTTATCGCTAAATTAACCTCACTGGTTTGGCCATTTCACTACTGAGCAGAGACAAATAGAAGCTACTGACAACTGGAGGAGGCCAAGCTCGTACTGCGCCGCCCGGTTGATGGCAGGCCTCAGATGAGCCTGATTGAGCTGCAAATTGCAGAAATGTGAGACTGGTAGATCTGTCTGAGGCATTGAGAAAACATGTGCAGGTGATCCATTCAGGTCATGACCTCAGTATTGTTTTGCAAAATTAGTCCATCACTAGCAACATGAACACACTGGACTCTAATGGGCAGGTGAGAGATGCATGGTGACCACACATACCTCTCAAACAGCACCACCACCAGTGGAAAGCAGAGTCGTGCCACACTCACCAAGAGTACAAAGGAGATACCAGTTGAAAAACTTAAGGGTACTTGTCATAGGTAAGATTCTTATTTTTGTTTTAAGTGTAAAGGAGATGGCAGTTAGGACAGTGGTATGATCATCCTGTCAGATGTGGGAAATTAGGGAGCAGTCTACTGTCCCTGACAACTACATCTTCAGGAAGTGTCACCAGCTGCAGCTCCTCACAGACTATAAATCATAGAATCCCTACAGTGTGGAAACAGGTCCTTCAGCCCAACAAGTCCACACCAATCCACAGAGCATCCCACCCAGACCCATCCCCCTACAACCCACCTAATCTACACATCCCTGAACACTACAGGCAACTTGGCATTGCCAATCCACCTAACCTGCACATCTTTAGACTATGGGAGGAAACCGGAGCACCCGGACGAAACCCACGCAGACGCGGGGAGAATGCACAAACTCCACACAGACAGTCGCCCGACGATGGAATCAAACCTGGGTCCCTGGCGCTGTGAGGCAGCAGTGCTAACCACTGAGCCACCGTGCCGCCCTGGTTCAGCTGGAGAAGCAGCTGGACACACTGCGGCAATTACAGGGGACAGACAGAGTGATAGATTCTAGCTTTAGGGAGGTGGTCACACCACAGGTCCAGGCAGATAGATGGTGACTGCCAGGAGAGGCAGCAAGTAGTTCAGGAGTCTCCTGTGGCTATTCCCCTTTCAAACAGGTATACCGTTTTGGATACTGCTGGGGGGATAGCCTTTCAGGAAATAGTATTAGCAGTAGCCAGACCTGTGGCACCACAACTGGCTCTGCTGTAGAGCAGAGTGTGGCAAAGTCTAGGTGACTGATATTAATAGGTGACTCAATAGTAAGCGGCAAAGATAAGCATTTCTGTGGCCGTGAATGTGGCTCTAGGATGGTGTGTTGCCTCCTTGGTGTCAGGGTCCTTGATGTCTCTGAGTGGGTATAGGACATCCTGAAGCGGGAGGGAAAAGAGCCAGAAGTCATTGTCCACATTGGCACAACTGACATAAGTAGGAGGAAGCAAGAGGTCCTGTGAAGACAATTCAGAAAGTTAGGTAGGGAGCTAAAACACAGGACTACCAGGATAGTAATCTCAGGATTACTACCTGTGCCACGGGCTAGTGAGGCTAGGAACAGAGAGAGAGTGCAGTCGAACACATGGCTACAGTGCTGGTGCTGGAGGAAGGGCTTTAGATAATATGGATCATTGGGATGTTTTCTGGGGAAGGTGGGGCCTGTACAGGAAGGACAGGCTGCACCTGAACTGGAGGAGCACCAATATCCTGAGCAGGAGGTTTGCGAGAGCTCTTCAGGAGGGTTTAAACTAGTGTGGCAGGGAGGTGGGAACCAGAATACTAGGCCAGTAAGTGCAGGGACTGGGGACAAAAGTGTGACAGAGATATGCATAGCACAGAGTAAGAGCAGGCACAGGGAAGTCAGAGGGGCTCAGAGGGACTGGAGGACTGGAATTAATTTACTTCAATGCAAGAAGTATAGCAGGTAAGTCAGAGCATGGATTACTGCAAGGAATTATGGTATAATTGCCACTACAGAGACATGGTTAAAGGAGGTACAGGACTGGCAGCTTAAGATTCCTGGATATGGTTGTTTCAGAAGGGACAGAAAGGGAAACAAAAGGGGTGGGGGAGTTGCACTGCTGATTAGGGATCACATCACAGCTGTGTTTAGGGAGGACACATTGGACGGATCTTGCATTGGGGCATTATGGGTGGAACTCAGGAATAGGAAGGGTGAAATCACAATGTTGGGAATTTTCTATAGACCTCCCAACACCCACAAGACACAGAGGAACGGATATGTAGTCAGATACTGAAAAAGTGTGAAAACAGCAGGGTAGTTGTGTTGCGTGACTTCAACTTTCCTCTTATTGACTGGGAATCCCCTAGAGCCAGGGGCTTAGATGGAGAGCAGTTTGTTAGTTGTGTCCATGATGGCTTTTTAAGGCAGTATGTTGACAGTCCAACCAGAGAGGAGGCCACATTAGACTTGGTCCTTGGGAATGAGCCAGGACAGGTGATTAATGTTTCACTAGGAGAGCATTTCAGGCTTAGTGACCATATTTTCATAAGATTTCGAGTAGTCATGGAAAAGGACACAAGTGGCCCTCGGGTGAGGGTGCTTAATTGGGCACGAGCCAGTTACACCCAAATTAGACAGGAACCAGACAATGTGGATTGGAAGCAGTTATTTGAAGGGAAATTTACCTCTGGTATGCGGGAGGCTTTTAAAGACCAATTTACTAAAGTGCAGGACATGCATGTCCCTGCAAAATTAAAGGATAGGAATGGCAGGATTCAGGAACCATGGATGACAAGGGAAATTGTAAGGTTAGTCAAAAGAAAAAGGGAAGCATACGACAAAGTCTAGGCAGCTACAAATTGACGAAGCCCTGGGAAATTAGGAAGGAACTTAAATGCACAATTAGGATCGCAAAAAAGGGCCATGAAATGTCTTTAGCAAACAGGGTCAAGGAGAATCCTGAGGCTTTTTATGCATATGTTAGGAGAGAGGGAAACAAGGGAAGAGTAGGCCCACTCAAGGACGAAGGAGGGTAGTTATACGTAGGGTCACAGGAAGTGGGGGAGTTCCTGAATGAGTACTTTGTATTGGCTTTCACCAAGGAGAAGGACATGACTAATGACATCACTGAGGACGAACCGTCAGTCATCAGTAAAGGATGCACCTTCATTCCTCTCCGCCCACACATCAACGAATTCCGTTCACGCTTTGATGTCGAACACTTTTTCTGCCGCCTCCTCCTATGCGCCTATTTCTTTAACCACAAATCTAACCCACCCTCTACAGATCCCTTCTCCCACCTCCAACCCACCCCATCCTCCTGGACACCATCCCAAAGTCTCCTACCCTCCCTCGACCTCTTCATCTCCAACAGCCATCGCTACATCGATCGCCTCAACCTTTCCACACTTCTCACTCACTCCAATTTTCCCCCACGGAACGTGCAGCCCTCCGCTACAACTCTAACCTCACTATCAAACTCGCAGATAAAGGGGCGCTGTAGTGGTATGGTGCACTGACCTTTACATAGTTGACGCCAGGCGCCAACTCTCTGACACCTCCTCCTACCGCCCCTCGATCATGACCCCACCCCTGACCACCAAAACATCATCTCTCAAATCATTCACAACCTCATCACCTCAGGTGACCTTCTGCCCACAGCCTCCAACCTCATCATTCCCCAAACCTGCACTGCCTGTTTCCATCTCCTTCCCAAAATCCACAAACCCGACTGCCCCGGCTGACTCA